AATTAGCGTTGCAGGAATATTGACATAGTTCGTTCTGCAACGGCTTCGGCACAGAATCAGGTCAACAATCAAAAATCTTTAGTAAGTTAGTAAGAGTTGTTAGTAAGTTAGTAAAAGTTTAGTTAAGTTTAGTAAGAGTAATGATCAACAACAATTAATAATTTATAGAGCTAGCTTAGTTTTTATGATTGCGATAACTTCACAGGCGTTTCGTTGCCATTTCTAAAAGATGCAATGAATGACGATATTGGTTCCTAGCCTAAGAAGAAATTAAGGCAAGCGCTTCGTTCTTAACTCAAGAATGTTATTGGCTTCCACAAGTAATATGTAGCACGTACTAGAACACACAGCGCGAACAAAATCGGTGCGGCGCGGCAGTGCTGGCGCGTGGAAGGAGGCACAGAGTAAGCTTGAACCACAGAACACTAATACCCTTAGGCGGGGTTTGAACCCGCGGAAACAACGTAACCACGTCGTCTCTTCTAGTACGTCGTAAATAATAAATATTACTTCGATGTTGGTTTCACACATTTCCAAAAAGCTTTAATAAAAATCAAATATGATGTAATAAACATTTATTATTAAAATACTTTGATAAATTTGTCGTAAAAACAAAAAAAATATGCATATAAAATATTATTTCCTTACAATTATAAATTTATGTAAAATCTAAAACAATTCAAACACTGTCTAGTATAAAAACGCTGTCGGAAAGCCTATCAACAAAAGGCACTTGTAGAATATATTTTCAAGCATGACTAGGTTAAGTAAGTTGTATAAATTGCAAAAAATATCGAATATTGTAATCACGATTGACAAAATTGTTAACCTTATTGTATACAAGTACCTTTGTTTCACAGCACAAGGTAACTATGGGGTACCTACTAGAAAGAAATAACAAAGTTAAAATTTCAACATATATCAACGTTTTAAGGCACTGTTTGAATCACACGCGAACACGTACACACATTAAAGAATGCGTATACGTGTTTGCGTGTGTGTGTGCACCTACGTCCGTACGCGCCAAATAATCCAGTGAGGACAGGCCTATATTTTTTTAGATAATTAACGCAGACGTATAATAAAGTTTCAACCTATATTATGCGTCCTCCATGAGGGAAAGAAAATTATTGATGCTAACATTTAAAATAAATATGTACGATTTAGGAGTTTATTCAAATGTGTTTGCAGAATTATCGGACCTGCCGGACCCCACTGCCTTGTTTCAGACTTCGTATATTACGTTTTATGTGCCAATAGGCAGTTGCATACTTTGCCTTTAGGTTAATTTGGCCCTTAATGTCTAATGAGATGGTTATGATTATAACGAAATATATTCAATGAATATATTTTTTTATATTATTTTAAGTAAACGCCCTTACAATTAAAACAAATAATTCATATTACGACTTGAAAATAATGGAAATTAAAATAAATAACAAAAAAGACACGGTGCATCTAGACACAGACTATAGCTTATTTAAAATATAACACAACAGATCTTTGATCTCATGACACATAGTATGCTTAGAATAATTATTTCTTGTTGCTTATAGCACTGCATTTTGAATGCTTCTTAATTAATCTCCTTATAAATAACATTTGTGCGTAAAAATTACTTATATATACTATATTAAATAAACACTGGAATGCTAAGAGTAAATTTAAGTCTAAAATATTTTCATAAGGTCCGTACGGATAAAGTACGCGATTAGAAATGGCGGCTCATAGAGCACATAGCGTCAACATGCACAGTACAAACAGCAAAAAAAACCGCTAATAACGGTATATCGTTATATTATTTGGGTAGTTGGCAAATTTGTATTAATGGAAAAATATTTGGAAATAATTGTATACACAAGTACCTAACATTAATTTTAAAATATTATTTATAACTAGCGCCACGCTCTGGCTTCGCTTGGATGGGATCTATTAATGTGGCGTTATTTAGACTTAATTCAACCATAAAAGACCATTTATTTTATTTTATCAATATTTATATTCTAATAAAATCTCTAAATTTTTCAGATAGAATTTAGTCTAGATCACTCCTGGTATTATTCTCTATTTGTTCGTGAAGTTTAGTTTCAATCGGTTCAGCCATTTCGAAGATTAGCTTGGACAGACAGGCAAACGGAATTTTTTAAAATGATTACTCATGTCTCAATGGCACGTAAATATTTTATACAACAAGATTAACAAACAAAATCAACAATAATTATGAAGAAAACTCAGAACGCGTCGAAGCTCACAAATTAGTAAAACAGGACTGAAGTTTTTTTTTGGTAGTTTAAAGCATTTTGTTATCATTGATTTCAATGACAAGTTGGACTGAAGTTTTAGAACGTACGAAAAACGCATATCGCAACGTATTTTTTTGCAGTCTTTACCGGCGGGTGTGAGTATAGAAAGCGATAGTGTGCGAGCGAGAGATGAATAGAGGCGACGCCATTTTCAATCCCATTCTTTAACCGCACGGGTAGTACATTCATCGCAAAAATATGACTCTAAATATTTTGTATAAACTTTTAATGTTTGTACATTATTTCGCAAATTAATTGATTTCTGCCAAACATCATTAATCATTGTCATGTTCGGGCTTGAATAATAAGAGATTCATTTTAATGCGAATCTGTAAGGCGAGCTTAGTCTTAACATACCTTATGCTTTCCTTGACCACCTCGATGGTCGTATCGCGATTGCTGAACATGGGGTCTAATTCTAGTTCGGGCCGAAATCAGTTATCGGGCCAGGTTACGTCTCCGGTCGTGTCGGATTGTCCTTCTATCGGATTATGAGAGCGAGAGAATAGAGAGTGCAACTGTGGTTGGACATACAATCAGGCAATATAATCCTGCCCTGCCCAGATTGCTAATCTTAGTTGAGAAAGGCCGCCTTGACCGAAATTCAGTATGGAAGACATTATTGTTTTTTATGTTTTCTGTATTAGATACAGATGCTCAAGGGCTGCAGACATCACTTCGAGCGGAGGGTTAATTGGAGAAATTTATCCAAAAGGGCTCCTATGTAAAAAAGCAGCTCTACTAATAAATGCTAATTGATTATTATATACTAAAAATTTTAAATAAGATCGAAAATACATTTGGACGGAGTGTTAAACGAGAGGGAATGCTTATAAGCAAATATCGTTTTAACCTGGAATTCGACACTCGGATAGAAAAACTAAATTTGCACTTATTCTACAAAATTAAACAATTATGCAATTAATTAAAGTGTTATAAAGATATACATTTTGTAAAATATTAAACATACTTACATTATAAAAAGCACCAAAATATATGGAAGCATTAAAATGCGTTAAGTAATAAACGGCTTACGTTAATATTATCATTGTTTACCATTTTTCGTTTTCTTATCGATATATTCGGGGTCCTAAGGTAGGTCGGTTTGTTCTGAAAATGTGCCATTCTTATATTTAAAAATAGTTTAGGATTAACTTAATAATTAGTCATTCAGTGCCAAAGAGCAGCACGGATCACCGGCGGACCGGAGTAGAGTAGCCATAGCATTTTTTTCCCGATACAGAACTATCTGTCATTTTTTGCAGGGGCAAATCTGCGCACACAAAAACAATCGTCTGTCACTAAGAAACCCACACATTACAATAAAAACAATAAACTATCAATTTCACACATACATAGACACATTATAACAGTTTCGCTCAGTGACAGCGACAACTTGGATCAGTCGCTCGACCGATCTGCATATAAAAAACTGTGAGCGGCTTGTGTTGGAAAACAAATCCGAATGAACACGACCGTTACTACTATAATTTTTAAGTTTAAAAAGAAGTAAATAAAAATAATGTAATTAAAAATTAGTTTCACATGACAGATCTCTTTTTGCAGCAAAAAAAAAAAGAACAATTTAGCGTTTTTGTACTAACTAGATTTAGTCTAGTAAGCAGTGCGGCTACACAAGTTTTATTGTACGCAAAGGACCGCGGGTACTTATACTTTGACAGAGGGGAACGCCTACGTATGGTTACTCCGCCGATGGCCAGTGTTGTTCTATGTTCAATGCGCATGATGCATGATACACCATATTACGCATCATGTCTGTAAGCTCGCCAATGGCACACGATACACCGTGTACATCATGGTAAGTCAACTCAATTATTATTATTTGAAAGGTCTTGTTTTTGATATTTCTCTCATACATTATGGTATATCTCTATCCTCGATTAAAATCAAAATACATATGCTTTGTTACCGCTGAGGACTAAGATGGACTGCTGATGAATTTCAAGTAAAAAGGGTCTCCGGTTCTCTACACTCACAATACGAAACAAAGAAGCTGCTGTTTCATACTGCCTTCGATCGAGCCGACTCATTCATGCTATAACCATAACATAGCTGCAGCGTCGCTCTACCATGGGTATTTTTTAATTTCTGTCTATGAAAAGTTTACTGTTGAACATAGGCGTCCTCCAAAAATTGTTGTCCTCTAAAGATTTCGTATAAGGAGGTATTTTGCCAGTTGCCATTTTTGCAATTGTTTTATTATTTTCAGTTGTTATCAAGATGGTACTGCCCATCTCCTGTTTCAGTTTTCTCTCTGTAGCCTCTTACAACACCCACGAGATGATATGGGGTAGTGGCTTCTTCCCACTAATACTATAATATAATTATAATATAAATATAATACTTTTGATAGACTGAAATAAATGATGAACGATCGACATTATTACGAATAATAAATATTAAAAGTTATTCATGCTTTCACTACTAGTTTGAGAAAAGTCCCTGCCTTTTTTTAAATAATAATTTACAATGTTGCGTAACGCACGCAAGCACACACGCACGCACGCACGCACGCACGCATTCACACACACACTTCGTTCTGTCTTCACAATCCGTTCCCCACTGACCTCATATATTCAATCTCCATTTTTAATCTACAGGTATACATGATTTGTTTCACATTAGCTTCTAAAAACTATAAATAGAAGAATAAATATATCTTTATTTCGTCATAAATTAACTCTTACTTTCATTATCGGGTGTAGCGGGTTCGGGCGCGCTGGCTGTAGCATATGGATTGTTTGCGGGCTGAAATAACATAATTTAAAGTCGTTGTTTTATCTACTATATTAAATTATTCAGTTCAGTTATTATAAATAATGAAAACTGTTTACTTACAGTAGCAGGATAAGGTACATCAGCACCAGGTGGTAGTGATGGTATTGGGACAGCTTTGGTATCATCTTGTGCAATAAAACCAAAGGTTCCTGTCTTCAGTGAGGTACTACTTCCGGTTAAAACTGGGCTGCGATTGATTCCCGGAGAATACTGGACATTAGCTTGATTGGGGTTGGGGTTTGGCAATGGGTTTTGTGCTGGATAAGGTGAACTGTTAGGGGGATAAGGAGCCAAGCTTTGATTTGGAGTCGAGTTGAACGCGGGATAAGGTGAGTTGATCGGAGTAGGTGATGTGGGATATGGTGGATTTGGTCTGGGTATATTTGTACCTGGATATGGTGAATTGTTTATTTGCGGATTTAAGGGGTACGGCAAAGTTGCACCAGAGTAAGGCGCAGCCGCACCCGGATAGGGTTGTTTTGCATTAGGGTCAGACGGAGTTACACCTGGATTAGGTTGGTTTGTGCCAGGATATGGTGAGTTTTCAATGGGGTAAGGGTTCGGTGGATTGGGCCTCGCGGGAAACATAGATTGATTCAAGATCGGCATTTGGTCTTGTAGAGGATTCGGGACGTTATCCTGTTGCCCGACCAACGGGATCGTGCCGATGACAATACGCCTCTTTTCGTCAATGGCACAGTGACATCCTTTAGGAGTAACGGTCACCTAATAAAGAAAGGCTACAACCATTAACATATAATAAACCATTTTAAAATATTTATCATAGTAAATAAACAGTCTACAGTTGGACATGTTCTTCCCAATAGCAGGGAGGATAGCCAGTTATCGGCAGTTATAGCAGTATTAGATATACAATTGTGCTTTTCATTGCGCAATCTGGTTTACTTGTATCTAAAAAAGGGAAAAAATGTTTATTTTCACTTTTTTTATTAGGTGGTATATGGTTATGCACTCTTGGGATATAAGGCGTAATTATGAAGGTAATAACAATAATGATAATCCTGGTCAGCCTCGCAGCTCATTTGAGGCGACTAGGACCGTGAAGAACCGCCCCGGGCTTAAATGCAGAAGGGGGTCTTCGATACCGCCCACATCGCCCACCGTTTTCTTTCCCTTTTCCACTAACCCTCAGCCGTTTGATCTCTCCTGCCGAAAATAGAAGCCTCATTTGGTTAGGTTTTTATTTATTTAACTATATTTAATTTATGGTATTATATTCAACATTATATATTTTATTTAATATTATTTACAAAAATACTTTTTCACGTGGTAGAGCCACGATGTAGCTACATTATAGATGTATGCACGAATAGGTCGGCTCGACCGGGGAAGGACCACGCTCTCACAGAATACCAGCGTAAAATAGCGGCTTAATCCTGCTGTGTTTCGTATGATGAGTGTAGAGAATCGGAGACCCTTTTTACTGGAAACTAGGCATTCCATAGTAGTAGTCCTCAGAGGTGACAACATATCTGCATTTTGATACTTAATCACAGAGAAAGAAAGATGTCTATGGGCCACAGCATCCACTTACCATCGGGTGGACTGTATGCTCGTTTGTAACAACCATTCTCTAAAAAAATAATCAAAATAATAACAGAGTTACAAATTCATTATCAAACAACATTATAAATTCAATTTTAAATAAATTGAAGAATTTTGTAATTTTTTTTATCGTGGTTTGTACAGAGCTTGGCAGTTAATTCACATTGAAGTTTATTGTGGGATTTTATATTTGCACTGTAAAAAGTCCGAAGTGAATTCAGAGTGGAACTGATTGCACCACCAACCGAAAAGGACAAAATGGGCAGCTAGTATTCCAAAGTGTCCAAAGTTGTCTCCGAAATTGCGCTAAGCTCACATCAAATTTTACTGATGAAGCACAACATCAGACCCAAATAGATAAGGATAACTGAGAGAGATTAGGAGTGTTCCGCGCAGTGATTTGCGTGGAACACTCCTGATAAATGAATTATCATATGTTGATCATTTACATATGACATTGTTTTAGAATTTCTATCTTCTAAGGCTAAGGTATTGTGAATCCCTTTTCTGAGCGCTGTCGAACCCAACGTTTGACCGAAATACGTACTCTTTTTTTACCACCTTTCTTAGACACTTTCACTTTCTTTTTTACTAAAGCAATAATATAACTGTGGCTAAGGCGGGTTTGGACTGTGTAGATTCTATGATCATACAGTGTATTGTGTGTGTGTGTGTGTGTGTTTGATTGATAGCTATCACAGACTATGGTGAGAGATATTGACACGTTATTTTTATGAAGACAATATGATAATATAATATTAGCAGCCTCAGCGATTTGCTCGTCTAAGCTCCTTTGTAGATAATAGCTATCTAGGCTAGGTTGAGCAAATTTGGAGCAGGGAAAAGCCTGCCACGCAATGAATTTGTAATGAATTTAAAAACACTGTTTTTTATCAACTCTCGCCAAACAGACGGAAGTGGTGCTGATGATGATGAAAATAACGGAAAGAAGTCTTTAATCACTAAAAATATTGATGTTTATAGTTTCGATGTCCCTTAAGAAAATATCACGTACCTTAAACTTATAGTTTATATCAATGTACTGACATGATCCCAAGTTGTACACATCTATAGCAGGTACCTCCATATCTACTATCCAACTTCTGGAGGCACCTCCGGGGACAGGACCCTTTTTCATCTCCACTATCGTTTCCGTTTCGTGCCTAGTGCCCGGGTTTACGGTTGCACGGAAGGTTATTTTCTGTCAAAGAGAAATTTAGATACATTCATAAGAAACCATCAAGAGTTTCTTGTCCAAGTATGTAAAGTAAGAAAGAACAAAAGTAAAAGAATGGAAGGGACCAATGTAAAATAAATACAGGGTTATTTTACAAACTATGCCCAAATTTGCAGAAGAGGTTCAGAAATAAGTTAGGTAATATAGGTTAATGTTGAAAAAATAACTAAAAAAACGTGCGTGTCTGCTCAGGCGCGTGACTACGGTTTACAACTTCTTTTCAGTCAGATGCGTACATCTATCACTAAGAAAAAACTAGATAACAATCCTATGCAAAAGTTCTCTAAAAACTGTCGCCAATTATTTTGACGTAATTCTAGTTGAAATAAATATATATATACGAGGGTGGATTGAAAAGTACTCGGCCTAACACAGATCCATTCAATTCTAAAAATCAAATCTACCCACATTATTTAGTTCAGTTCAGACTAGTTCATTGTGTGAAGTTCGAAACGTGTGCGATAATTAGTTGTGATTTTATAAATTTATTAACAAAGTAATCGGACATAATTTCCGCGAATAGAGCAAATCGAACAGCGTGCCGTCATTAAGTACCTCCATAAGAAGGGGCTATCATCAAAAGCCATCCATGATGACATAGTCAGTACATTAGGCGATTGTGCTCTGTCATATTCATCCGTCAAAAAATGGATAGCAGAATTTAAGCGTGGTAGAGAGAGTGTGAAAGATGAACCCCGCTCTGGAAGGCCCTTTACCTCAGTGTCAACTAGCGATATCTGGTGAGCAGAAAATTATTAGCCCTCATTGAAGTAATCAATCTCAGATCAATATGGCTAATATTCACTTCAATTAGTTGTTGTTGTTTTAACTTTCGTTAATCGTTTCACCATTTTGTTTCCTAAATATATGTAACCCCACAGGTTTTCTTTCGTGATTTCGTACTGATCCTGCTTTTATATCTTTAAATAATTAGTATAGTGAAAAATCACATGTTACAGTGTAGATAATAGATAAAATCACTTTTACTTATTCTACTCTCACTCGGCTCCTAGATTGACAAATCTTGCCAGATTTTCAGCTATGAATTGTTTATATATAAGCTTTCAGTTGGTCCGACTTTCATCTTGTTAACATCTGGGCCCAACAATGTATGGAGAGGTCTACTTCTTTGCGTGTATTCATGTTTGATATGAAGCTGGGCTTACAAAAATAAAAATTTAAAACAAAAAGTTACCTTACCCTTTTAATGGAGAGTATGATGTCAATCTTAACCTTGCCGTGATTTGAACAGTTCACCTCAATGGGTATAACCTGTCCGGGACAGTACCCAGACACAGGCAAATTAACAACGGTCTCACTGGAGCCGTATCTCATGCACCAACAGCAATATGTGTCTTCTATGTCAAACTGCATCGGTTCCTGAAGACAAATGATATAATTGACTGATAATTTTGCTGCCAACTGCCTTAAGAGGCATGCCTCTTTCTCGAATGATTGCATGCTTGTAATAATGTCTGTCTCTTGGACAATCCATCACAAAACCTATTTTTACGTCAATATAGGTATAAGCACAAGCTTACAAGTTAATTCTACGTAACGGCAGCCCATGGACACCTGCAGCAAACCAGAAGAACCATCCATTCATATATCCATTACAGCCTATAAAAGTCCACTGCTGAATACAGACTTCTCCCAAAAATTACCTGATAGAGATGATTTTACCATAGTTACCAAGATTGGCAGGCGGGTTGGCAACTTTTTTTATAGGATAAGGGTGACAAACGAGCACACAGTCCACCTGATGGTAAGTGGTTGCGGCCCATAGACATCCACATCTATTCTCGATTACAAATCAAAATGCAGATGCGTTGTCACCCGTGAGGATTAAGAAGGAATGCTTCATTTCCAGTGAAAAGGGTCTCCGGTTCTCTACACTCACCATACGAAACCCAGCAGCGTTAAGCTGCTATTTTACGCTGGTATTCTGTGAGAGCGTGGTCCTTCCCCAGTCGAGCCGACCCATTCGTGCTACAACTATACAATAAGGCCGTAACATATCGTCATTGTACTCAATTTCGTCGATTCGTCTTGAAATATTTTCAATCTCCATGTCAACAATCACGACCTTAAGTCACTGACTGCCCGAGCTCAGGTTTTACCATCTCAAGTACACACACTAAGTGTCATGTCTTGAATGCATGAAAACACAATGTACTCGTATCTCACAAGTAATACATATTATATTAAATTAGATTGTTTAGCGCGATTGCCAAGTCAATCTATGTATTTAAAACTTAAAAGATTTTTAATATTGATATGGTCACTATAAGATGTTGTTAGGTTAGCTAATTACGTATTAACTTGAGACAGGAGGACCCTTAAGTAGGGACTGAATAAATTAACTGACTTGGGATTACAAGGATCTCACAACTTTTTACGGTAGAAGAGTTCTTGGTACGGTAGAAAAGTTCTTGTAAAAAAACCCAAGTCTCGCAACTCAACTGGGTTGCGAGACTTGGGTTTTTATACTGCGGATATCCTCATTTCTAAGTTTATCACGCAGAGAAACTCCGAGCACAGCCCTCTCCATAGCTCGTTGAGCGACCTTGAGCTTCCTCATCCGGCCAGCAGTGAAGGACCACGTCTCAGTTCCATAGGTCATCATTGGCAACACGCACTGGTTGTAGTCTCGTTTTCAAGCTTTGAGGTATACCTGACGAGAAGATGTGCCGTAATTTCACAAACGCTGCCCGAGTTGAATCCGTCGATTGACCTCTCGGTCGAAGTTGGACTTACCTAGTCGGACTATTTGTCCCAGGTAAACATACTCGTCAACAACTTCGAGCTTAGTGCTCCCAACAACTACATAGCATAGATGTGACATGGACATAAAACATGATCTTTGTTTTGTCCATGTTCATCTTAAGACCTATCCATTGGGAAACACTATTGAGGTCATTGAGCATAGTGCTTCGGTCCTCCAGCGATTGTGCAATAAGGACTATATCGTCGGCAAATCGAAGATGAGTGATGTACTCGCTATTGATGTTAATACCGTATCCCTTCCAGTCCAGAAGCTTGAAAACGTCTTTCAATGCAGTGGTGAAGAGTTTCGGGGATATAACGTCACCCTGTCTTACACCTCTCTGCAATTGGATAGGTTTCGTACTCTGGTTCTGTACTCGGATAGCCATCGTAGCCCTACTGTACAAGCACTTCAGCACTTCGATATACCGACAGTCAACTTGGCATCGCTGAAGGGACTGCAGCACCGCCCAAATTTCGACGGAATCAAAGGCTTTCTCCTGTCCACATACCCCAGACATAGTAGTAAATTGTACTCCTCGGACTTCTGTACAATTCGCCGAAGGGTATGTATGTGGTCTATGGTGCTAAAGCCTTTTCGGAAACCGGCTTGTTCGGGAGACTGGAAGTCGTCAAGTCTGCGCGCGAGACGATTCGTAATGGCTCTCGAAAACAGCACGTAGACGCAGCTCAGAAGGGAAATCGGTCTGTAGTTCTTCAAGAGAGCGTTTTCACCTTTCTTGAAGAATTAGACCACCGCACTTCTGCTCCACGCCTCCGGTGTAGTGCCACCATGGAGTACGGAATTAAAGAGCTTCCGAAAGACTTCAAGTACCGGTTTTCCACCGGCTTTCAGAAGCTCCCCTGTAATTCCATCCTCTCCTGGGGCCTTGCCGTTTTTAAGGTGCTGGAGAGCCTTTCTAATCTCGCTCAGACTGACGTCCGGGATATCATCGGAATAGTGTCGGATAAGACTCGCTCTTGGATCGTTACTCACACTTACGTGCGGCTCCAACGTTGATGTGTACAGCTGCCCATAGAACCTCTCAATCTCACTCAAAATCTCAGTTGTCCCGGAAACGACGCTGCCACACTCGGTCTTCAGCTTCGACGGTTGGCTCTTTCTGGCAGACAGATTTCTAGCAAAGACTTTGGAGCCCTGGTTCCGCTCGATCGCTTCTTTAATACGAGCAGTATTAAAGTTGCGTAAGTCCCGCCGCATGCATTTGGAGATCTGTCTGTTGAGTTGCCTGTATGCTGTCAAATCTACTGAAGACTGCAGCTTCATATCCCGTCTAACAGCCATGAGATTAAGAGTGTGATCGGAGAGTTTTTTGTGTTCTTCTGCGACGGGTCTTGCAAAACTTAGCTCCGACCGCATGGACAGTTTCCACGAGCTTGTTATTCATATCGTCCACTGCATTGCAATCTTCTAGGCACTGAAAACGGTTTTGTAGCTCGAGCCGAAAGGTTTCGGGACTTTGGGTTAGAGCATGAGGGGGACGGAGCGTTGACTTCATTAGACGTGACCTCTCCAACTTAACGATAAGGTTCAGTGTGCCTCTCACCATTCGGTGATCGCTGCCGGTTTTCACCCTCGCGATCACTGAGTGCCGTGTAGTGGCGGTTAAGAATATCCACTACCCCATATCTTCCCGTGGGTGTCGTAAAAGGCGACAAAGGGAAACAGGCAGGAGATGGGCAGCAGCATCTTCCTGATTATAGCCAAAATAACAATAAAAAAACTGCGGTTGCCAACCCGCTCGCCAAGCGTGGCAACTATGGCAATACCCCCCATGAACAATGACAATAATAAACGGCCCCCAGTCCCCGGCGGCCCCGCTATTTCTGGCTACGGTGGCGACCATGGTAACGGCGGGGCAGGGGGTGCTAAGAATCTCCGGTGGAGGTTCGGTTGCCACCTACGACGACTCGACCTGGCAACATACAACGCACGCACCCTGAGGACTGACGAGAAGATTGTGGAGCTGGAAGAAGAGATAGACAAGTTACGCTGGCATATTATAGGATTATCCGAAGTCCGAAGAGAGGGGGAGGACACGGTAATCCTCGAATCCGGCAACTTGCTCTATTACCGGGAGGGCGACCATCTGTCCCAAGGAGGTGTCGGATTTATCGTCCACAAGTCTCTCGTTAACAACGTTGTAAAGATTGAGAGTGTGTCGACGAGGGTTGCGTACCTTATACTCAGAATCACCAAACGGTATTCGCTGAAGGTCATACAGGTTTACGCACCAACCTCGGCACACCCCGATCAGGAGGTGGAGGAAATGTATGAGGATATCTCTAGAGCCATGCATTCCTCCAAAACCCAATATACGGTGTTAATGGGAGACTTCAATGCAAAACTAGGCACAAGAGAGAACGGTGAGCTGAAAGTAGGGAAATTTGGAATAGGGCAACGGAACCCAAGGGGCCAGCAGCTGGCCGACTTCATGGAGAAAGAGGGACTCTTTATGATGAACTCTTTCTTCCAGAAGCGGCCCCACAGGAAGTGGACCTGGTCGAGCCCCGACGGTTCGACAAAAAATGAGATTGACTTCATTATGACGACCAGACGACAAATGTTCAGTGATGTCTCAGTGATCGCGAGGGTGAAAACCGGCAGCGATCACCGAATGGTTAGAGGTACACTGAACCTAAATGTTAAGTTGGAGAGGTCTCATCTAATGAAGTCAACGCTCCGTCCCCCTCGTGCTCTTTTCCAAAGTCCCGAAACCTTTCAGCTCGAGTTACAAAACCGTTTTCAGTGCCTAGAAGACTGCAATGAAGTGGACGATTTGAATGACAAGCTCGTGGAAACTGTCCATGCGGTCGGAGCTAAGTTCTGCAAGACCCGCCGCAGAAGAACACAAAAACTCTCCGATCACACTCTTAATCTCATGGCTGTTAGACGGGAGATGAAGCTACATCCTTCAACAGATTTAACAGCATACAGGCAACTGAACAGACAGATCTCCAAATGCATGCGGCGGGACTTACGCAAATTCAATACAGCTCGTATTGAAGAAGCGATCGAGCGGAACCGAGGCTCCAAAGTCTTTGCCAGAGATCTGTCTGACAGAAAGCGCCAACTGTCAAAGCTGAAGACAGAATGTGGCAGCATCGTTTCCGGGGCACCTGAGATTTTGAGTGAGATTGAGAGGTTCTATGGGCAGCTGTACACGTCATCGTTGGAGCCGCACGCAAGTGTGAGTAACGATCCAAGAGCGAGTCTTATCCGACATTATTCCGATGATATCCCGGACGTCAGTCTGAGCGAGATTAGAATGGCTCTCCAGCACCTTAAAAACGGCAAGGCCCCAGGCGAGGATGGAATTACAGCGGAGCTTCTGAAAGCGGGTGGAAGACCGGTACTTGAAGTCCTTCAGAAGCTCTTTAATTCCGTCCTACATGGTGGCATTACACCGGAGGCGTGGAGCAGAAGTGCGGTGGTCTTGTTCTTCAAGAAAGGCGACAACGCTCTCTTGAAGAACTACAGACCGATTTCCCTTCTGAGCCGCGTCTACGTGCTGTTTTCGAGAGTCATTACGAATCGTCTCGCGCGCAGACTTGACGACTTCCAGCCTCCCGAACAAGCCGGTTTCCGAAAA